CTGTAGCTCAAGTGGTAGAGCACTCGCCTTGAGCTGAAGAGCTGAGGGACAGCGCCCAGGCCCAGAGTTCAAGCCCCATGACCGACAAACAAAAAAAAAAGAGAGGTAGGGATGCATCCAAAGGACGGGGTGGGCCCCCCAAATATACTGCTACTGGTGGAAAACCCAGACACAGAACAGTGGGTTAGCTCTGAGAGAAAGGGGAAAGGAGGAAGGGGAGGGAGGAGAAGAGGAGGCTGGAGGGCTTTCACTGCAGGCTTCGGGGCTCCCACGATCCTGCTGAGCAGAGCAAAGCCAGTGGGGTGGGGAAGGGGATCTGTGAGGGGGGAGAGGGAAGACAGAAAGAAAATCAAGCAATGGAGGGAAAGAGGGAAGAAAGGAGTAACAGGGGCCTAATACTGTGTAGCTTTCGGAAACATATTTACCTTTTACATTGTTTATTTACTTGTTTATTTTAATTTTTTTCCCCTGACCCCGGGGCTTGAGCTCTGGGCCTAAGCACTGCCCCTGAGCCTCTCTGTGCTCAAGGCTGGCGAGCGCTCTACCACTTGAGCCACAGCGCCACTTGCATCTTTTTCTGAGTAGTTTCTTGGAGATAAGCGTCTCACAGACTTTTCTGCCCAGGCTGGCTTTGAACCACGACCCTCAGCTCTCAGCCTCCTGAGTAGCCAGGATGACAGGCCTGAGCCACTATTGCCCAGCTCCATTATTTATCTACTTCTTTATCTGCCTAGTTATTTTTACAATACTGAGCACAAGATTCTGCACACAGGTGTTTTCCTATCTAAAGAGTATCAGGGAAACAATCAAGTGTCTGTGTGGCTCAAGTAGCCTTTCATGTGGTGGGCAGTCCCCATTCTCCATTGATGGACAAGAGGAAGGAGGCTTGAAACTGCAGGGTCAGGAGCCTGTGCTCAGAGGCTGGGCTGGGCCTCCCTCCCTAACCCTTAAGCTAATGAGTGCAGCTAGCAACCCAGTCAGTCCGGGTGCCCTTCCCTCAGGCCGCCAGCCCCAGGAACTGTGGGCACACACTTTCCGAGCATGTGATTAGATAATTACAATGCCAATGAAAATAATGGTGATCTTGACAGCCACGCTGACAACGGTAGCCACGGAGTAGACACTATTCCTCTGAATTAAATGAGGGCATTCTAAGAGTAATAAATGCAGGCCGGATCTATTTTTGCTAAAGCAAAATACTGCTCTAGGCCAGGGCGTGGGGCTCCAAGGTGGTTGTGCTGTGGGCAGCCTGCACCGTGGCCCACGACGACCCCCACATCCTCAGCTTACCTGATTCAGGGTCTTCTGCAGGTGCGGAGTGCCCATGCGGTCGGCCATGTGCCGGTAAGCGGGGTGGGAGAGGAAGAACTTCCTCTCGGCCGCGAGGGCCGCACGGATGTCCTTCTTGCCCTCGATGTCTTTCTGGCTGCGGTTCACCACACCGATGTAGCCTAGGAAGAGAGAGTCAGGACAGGGCTGTGCCAGGAGGGCTGTGGAGCCTGGATCTCAGAGATTAGTGCTAACAAATGAAGGATGTACACGGGAGACAAGACAGGCAGGAAACACAACACACAAGTTTGGAGGAGGCAGAGAGCACACCCAGCCTGTGGGACAGGTCAAAGAGCTGAGCTTCAAAGATGGGGTGCAGGTACGGGAGGTGGGTGCAGTCCAGTGCTAGGGCACTGTGCTAGCACAGGCGAGGCCCTGGGCTCCATCCCTAGACTGAAAAAGAAAAAAAAGGTCAGGTGTCCAGTGGCTCACGCCTGTAATCCCAGCTACTCAGGAGGCTGAGAGTTGAGGATTTAAGTTCAAGGCCAAAGCCAGCCCAGACAGGAAATTCCTGAGATCTTATTTCCAATTTTTTTTTTAAGAAAAGGAGCTGGGAAGGTGGCTCAGTGGTAGAGTGCTTGCCTTGCATGCATGAGGCCCTGGGATTGATTCCTCAGCTCCATATAAGCAGAAAAAGCTGGAAGTGGCGCTGTGGCTCAAGTGGTAGAGCACTCGCCTTGAGCTGAAGAGCTGAGGGACAGCGCCCAGGCCCAGAGTTCAGGCCCAACAACCAACAACAAAAAAGAAGTGGAAAGTGAAGCTGTAGTTCCGGTGCTATCCTTGAACAAAAAGCTCATGGACAATGCCCAGGCCCCTAGGACAGGAAAAACCAAAAAACACAAAGGGAAGACGGGAGGAGTGTGTAGCTCAGGAGGGGAGCACCAGCCTCAAGCAAAGAAGCCAAGTGGAAAAAACAAAGCAAAACATTTCTTGGCTGGTAAGAAGCCCTCAAGAAATCTTTTTTTCTTTTGGGTCCGGTCGTGGGGCCTGAACTCTGGGCCTGGGCGCTATCCCTCAGCTCCTCAGCTCAAGGCTAGCACTCTACCACTTGAGCCACAGCGCCACTTCCGGCTTTTTTCTTTTTGCTTATGTGGTGCTGAGGAATCGAACTCAGGGCCTCA